TTCACATGTAAAAAAATAAAGTTTGAAAAATTAAAAATGAAGCAAGTTGAGGAGCAGAAGCAGGTGACGGTAGACGATACATAAGTTTTTAGAGAATATCAAAATATATAATCTAGAAAAACAAATAAAGCAGCCAATCCGAAGTTAAATAAACAGAAAGAAAAAGACAACTTGAATTGAAAAAAATTCTTTTCTAAACACTTCATTTTCTATATTCTATTGGGTTCAATTTTTCACCAATTCTGCTTGGTAAAAAGACATACCGCCTTCAGAAAATGACAATCTGCTTGGTTATATAATCTAGCACCAATTCTGCAACTCCTTTCATGGATGCAGCTGCCTTGAACAGATCGGATTACATATGGCCAGCGGAGACGAACAATCTAATTCCTAATGGAAGACGACATTTATCAAGCGATGACTTTTTGGAGGCAACCACAAAGATGGAATGCTCTTTCAACAACTGCATAACCGCAACCATTACAATCAGAAAAGGACAGAAAAGGATTCACAGAATCTGCTTTCTGTAGTCTGAGGAAGACAATTCAGGATTCTGGACTGCTAGCGAATGAGAGGCCCTGTATAGCTGACAATCCTGCACACCACATCACATCACGTCACATTTCTCAATCAAGAGCATCATAATGCAAGGCAGGCAGTAAGTGATCTCACAAAGCAAAGGGGATGCCAAGGAAATTGATCAAGTGATGAGTACACACCACGGCGCTGACAACTGTCCAGATACAGAATAAAGAACATCAAACTACATGCAAGTGAATAAGAGATCAAGAAACATACCTTTCCATAATATGGCAATATTTTTCTTCAGCTTTGTTATCAGACCAGGGTTTTCCTCGAGGATATCAATGGCAGTAATGGCAGCACTCGCAAGATATGGGGGCAAAGAAGCAGAAAAGACGTACCCAGAGCTACTCAATCGCTGCCAATTACCATATCCCAAAATTTTATCATTTAGAAACTTTTGACGCTTTTTGTTTAATATATGCATGCACATAAGTGATTGTGAGCACATAATTAAGCATTCACTAAAATAGAAAGATAAGAAAGTCATTTGCTTGTTAAAAATTTCATCTATCAACAGAGACATCATATAAATGGTTAATAGTGTGTATTCGGTAAACATACTTGGTGATTGGTGACTCTAGCACTTCCAGTGCAAAATCCTCCTACTGTGGCTAATGCGTGTCCCATTGCACCAGTAATAATATCGAATTTTTCAACCTGCAAAATCACACCACCAGAAATCACAAACAGGTAATGGATCAATAGTTATGAGAGATACAAAAAAAGACGGGTTTCTAAAAATACCGGAATCCTACAGTATTCAGTTACCTCTTCCAGATTTTCCAAGCACACCAAATGAGTTACTCTCATCCAATAACACATGAAACTTATATTTCTCCTTCAATTCAACTATCTTGTCTAAAGGGGCTATTTGGCCAGAATTCTGCAAATTTTATTAAAAGGAAACAAAATTCAAATAAAATTAACCTACATCTAATTGCATTCAGCTATTGAAGTTTCTCAGAAAAACTGAAGACAATTTGTCAAGATGCAAATGACAACGTTGAATGCTGAAAAGACAGTTTGTTTTTCTATTTGCCAGTGATTCACGTAGAGATGGAAGCTTTCCTCAAAATGTAACATGACACCAAGACTTTAAGAAAAACCTTAAAAAATTGTGTCCACTGAAGTATGAGCAACCTATTTTGTGAAAGTGGATGATGCTGGATTGAATCATAAAACAGCTCACAACATATAAAAAATGAATAAATAAAATTTGATATACGGGAAAGCAACATACAGGAAAATCACTAAAAATACCAACGAAAAAAAGGGAAAACAATATACAGGAAAATACATTATCTTCATAAGTAAGAAGCAGATTGGAACAATGGAATTAGCAAAAAGCAAAAAAGCCCCAGCTCAAAACCCAATTTTTTTTCTAAATCTAATCCTAGATATGAACATTTCAGCGAAACCTAAACCCTGGACAGGCACAAATATTCAACTCTTCATAGAAAATTTACAAAAATTTAAAGAATGACAACCCCAACAAAAAAAAAAAAAATAATCCAAACATATCCAAAATTAGCAAAAGCAAATCAGCCTCTCACACTAAGCAAACACAGTAGCAGCCATGCACGCCCATGGCTCTTTCATCTCAGGAGGCCATGACTGACGACGGAATAAACAAAATACCAAAGAAAGATCAGATTCCAAAAAAAACCCAAATCGAAATGAACCCTAGAAATTGAAATTCAGAATTGAAAATTCAAATTGGGGGAGCTCTGATATTTTACCTAAATAGCAACTTAGGAGTTGCCGCTGCACCACTAATTCACAACTAAGCCATAGCCATATCCATTCCTCAACAATCTTTGAATTCTAATTAAAACACAAAAAATATTAGAAAATGGTTAAAGATAAGTTATATAACCGCAGGCAAATCCATTCCTAAGCAATCTTTCAATTTTAATTATAAAAAAAAAAAAAAAAATTGTTAATGATAGGTTACACACCTGACCCAGAAAGCGTTTGCAAACTCCCAAAACAAAACCCTAAAATTAGAAGATAAACGTTTCCTGCAACCAAAAATGAAATCAAACAAAAAATCCACACACAAATCAGCAAAAAATAAAGAAAGCATTTAGCAAGAATCGAATTTTACAACAATCAATTAAAAAAATCTCTCCAGATGAAATGTTCTATTTGTCCTAATAATATTAGGTTATATATATATATATATAAGATTAAAAAGTGAGAGAGAGAGAGAGAGATGAACCTTCATACGGAGGCTAGCGATCCGGAGCTCGAGAAATCTGTGGAAGCAAATGAAAAGGCCCTGATTTTCCATATTTCTTCTGTTCTAGGATGAGAGAAACGGAAGAGATGGAGCTGTGGCTGCTAGGGTTTGAGGAGGACAGAAACAGGAAGAGTGAGAGATGAGAGGGCTCGCGTAGGAGAGAGAGGAAGAGTGAGAGATGAGAGCTGGTTGGGTTCTACTCCTGAGACTCGTGTCCCGTTAACTACAGGCCCCCATACTTTTCTCTGACTGTCCCCCCTCTCCCACTCATGAAATCGAGGATCTGCAGCAATGGCGCTGAGATCCCCACACCTCTCTCTCGCTCTCTCTCTCTCTCTCCCTCTCTATCGGAGGCATGGCCTCCCATCCCCGAAACCCTTAGAGCAATTCCACCCCTGTGGACTTTGCGCCAGCACCCAGCGCATTTATCCACTCAAATGAACAGTAATATACTGGAGTGAACAGTAATAGGCCAAGGCATCTCCACCCCTAAAAAAATGCGCTGGCACCCAGCGCATTTATTTGGTGTGTTTTTTTTTTAAGTTTATTTCGGATAAGATTTTTAACCCATTTAAAATAAAGAATAAAAAAATAAAATAGTTTTAATTTCGGATAGGATTTTTAACCAATCTCGTCACGCCACGTGTCATTATCTGAACGTACTATTTTGTGAATAGATTTCCGATATTATTTTCAACCAATCCCGACACACCACGTGTCACTTCCATGGTACAATAATTTAGCCAAGATTTCGATAAGATTTTCAACCAATCACGTCATGCCACGTGTCATTATCCGAACGTACTATTTTGTGGATAGATTTTCGATAATATTCTCGACCAATCCTGACACGCCACGTGTCACTTCCGGTTTACAATAATTTAGCCAAGATTTCGATAAGATTTTTCAACCAATCACGTAGTGCCACGTGGCATTGGTCCAGAACCTCATCCTTTCTTTTTTTGTCCATATAAACCCTACATCCCTACATCCATCCTCACACCAAGCTCAATCCTTCTTTTTAGCTCAGAATCCTTGTTCATCATTTTCAAATCTTGAGTTCTTATTACAATGTCTTCTTCAAGAAGGGTGTATAAGCAGTTGCAAGAGCAACAACAAAGGTTGTTGGCACAACAGGCAGAATTGGCCAATCTCGAGGAAGGTGGAGGTGGAGATGAGGCTTTCTTCATGGAGGAGGATGAGGATGATCACCATAGAAGGCAGAAGGCCTCACATTCCCGCCGTGTCATGGAAGCCGTGGGTCAGATAGCCAAACCAAGACGTGTTGCAAACCTCGATAGAAAAAGGGAAAAACGAGGTAAAAATCTATTGGAAGATTATTTTATTCCCAATAGCATATTCCCTGATCATGTTTTTAGACGGCATTTTAGAATGCAACGACATTTGTTCAACAAAATCATGAGTGATATTTGCAACCATGATTCATACTTTGTGCAAAAAGAGGATGCTTTTCATGTTCTAGGTCTTATTCCCGAGCAAAAAATTACGGCATCCTTGCGAATGCTTGCATATGGAGCATCTGCAGATCAAGTGGATGAGATCGCGAGGATGGGAAAAACAACTGTTCTGGAGTCCCTGATGCGGTTTTGCTCTGCAATTGAAGCCCTCTACACCAAAGAGTACCTCCGGACACCCTCGTCAAGGGACATGCGAAGGCTTCTGAGGAAGGGTGAGATGCGAGGCTTCCCTGGCATGATTGGAAGCATCGACTGCATGCACTGGACTTGGAAAAACTGTCCAAGTGCGTGGCAAGGAGCATATGGCGACAGAAAAGGAGCCAAAAGCATCATTTTGGAAGCGGTGGCTTCATTTGATACATGGATTTGGCATGCTTTTTTTGGTGTTCCAGGAGCTCAAAATGACCTAAATGTCCTTGCTCAATCCCCAGTGTTCGACGAACTGCTGCAAGGAAACTCGCCGAGATGCACATATTGGGTTAATGGTACCCAATACGAGGGATCATACTACCTTGCAGATGGCATTTACCCAAGGTGGTCAACATTTGTCAAAACAGTGCCACATCCACAGACTGAAAAGGAAAAACACTTTGCAAAATGTCAAGAAGGGTGTAGGAAGGATGTCGAGCGTTGTTTTGGTATCCTGCAAGCTCGTTGGGCGATTGTCAGGGCTGCAGCTAGAATGTTTGATGTCGAGGCTCTTCGATCCATCATGATGACGTGTATTATTCTCCATAACATGATTGTTGAAGATGAGTATGATTATGATGCCGTCGATGAATATGAGCCAGATCCGATGAACAACTCAAGAACACGTATTTATTGTGCTCATGATGGGACCGAAGATCCAGTGCAACACGAGCCGTTGGAACGTGATGGACGTTACAATGAATTGATCGTTCAGCGGTACACTAATGTGCAAGAGCCATACTGGCACGTAACCCGCCAGAATGACTTGATTGAGCACCAGTGGGGATTGCATGGAGGCGAAGATAATTAGAATGAGGCTTGTGGTTGAAGAATAAATTGTATTTTTTTTTAAGTTTAAGTAATTCTATGTAGTGTGTTTTTGTTTTTAAGTTTATTTGGTGAGTTTATGTAATTCTATGTAGTGTGTTTTGTTTTTTAAGTTTATTTGGTGAGTTTATGTAATTCTATGTAATGTGTTTTGTTTTTTAAATTTATTTGGTGAGTTTATGTAATCTTATTTCATGTGTTTAAATAAAGTACAAAAGAAATTAAATAAATAATTACATTAAAATTGCATAAGAAATTAAATAAAGTTCAAACCTAAAAAAAGAAAAAACATAAGAAATTAAATAAAGTTCTACTAGAAAAAAGAAAGAAAATACATAAAAATACATAAGAAATTAAATAAAGTCTCTCGAGTTAGGATATGTGGTGCTAGGATCTTGGTTGCCATGATTTGTGTAGCTAGAACCCCCTTGACTTGTTTCCGCATCTCTTGCACGCCTCCTACGCATGGCATCTCTTTTTTCCGATGTCCAAAAATATTTAGAATTCGGAGACAGTCCTACTAGAGACTTGCTCATAGTGTCACGATCTGCTTGAGCCATCCTTTCTTCTCGAAGCAATTCATTTTTCTCGATGAAGTGCTTCTCTAACCAGCTCGTTCTCTCGATTAACTACTTCTCTTTGTCTTTCAGCCGCCGCATCACGGGCCTCAGTAGCTGCTAATATTGCTGCCATAGCAGCAACTTTTTCCTCATCTCTAGCCTTTTCTCGTGCCAAGTTTAGTTCACCTTGGCGAGCAAGTTCCTCCATATATTTAGTGTAGTCATTTTTGGAAGAACTACCTTTTTTCTTTGACGCCTTTTTACCTAGAGGCCTTAGGGACTGACAAGTCGGTTGGGTCTCGGGCACTTGTTCAGCCGTCCCTTCCGTGTCTTGAAATGTGTCGGCTTCTTGTTCGGCCATGTCTGGTTCTGGAGAACTATGTAGACCCATACCGTGCATGACAACTTCTGGACCAGTTGCCACAATTTTTGTATTTAGGGCAATCTTTGACAATTTGCCAACATTCCAATCTATTGAATGATTTGTTCCCGTTCTTTGAATTGTAGAATGCTTGAGCTTGTAGTGTCTATAAAAAAGTGGGATAACATAGTGTTAAAAAATGCGGGTGTAACACAAATAAATAAATTCAAAATATTAATACGGGTGGAATGCATATAAATTACATAAAAATGACATAAGAAATTAAATAAAAATGACATAAGAAATTAAATAAAAAATTACATAAGAAATTAAATAAAAATTACATAAGAAATAAGATAAAAATTACATACGAAATTAAATAAATCAAAAATATTAATGTGAGTGGAATGCATATAAATAAATAAAAATATTGTCACCTGATCCGCTAAACTTGTCCCACTACGGAGGTTACCGGAAGCATGAGAGATGGCGTTTTTCCAACAAGTAAATGATGCGTTGAGTTTTTTCCAACGACCTTGAAGACCTTGACTAGTTCTGGCGTTTTCTCCATGTACATCACAAAACGCTTTCGTAATTTTACTCCACATCTCTCGCTTATCCATCTCATTACCCGTAATCGGATCATGAGTAGTGTGAACCCAACATTCACACAACGTAACATCTTCAATGAGCTTCCACGAAGACATTTTTTTCTCTTAAAGTGTAGAAAATATTGAAATGTAGATAGTATAGAAAGTGTAGAAAATATTGGAATGTGGTGTAAAGGTAGAAGATGAGGGTTAGGTATTTATAGGAAAAAAAATTAACATTTTTCAAAATTTTCTGTAATTTTTTTAAAATTTTCTGTATTTTTTAATAATTTTTCTGTATTTTTTAATAATTTTTAATGAATTTTAATATAGTTAATTAATCTGGATCGTTGGATTTGAAAAATATTCAAATCCAAGAGCTAGGGAGTTGCCACGTGGCCAACGGTCATATTTCTGACCGTTGGGCCCTTTTTTTTTTTTTAATTTACTTTTTGTGAAAAAAACGTGGACCGTTGATCTTTGATCCGACGGTCTAGTTTAAAAGTAAAATTTAAAATTTTTTTACCATTGGAAATCCAACGGTCTAGAAAACTAGCCGTTGGAAATCCAACGGCAGAGAGGTAGCCACGTCGCAACTCGGGGGGGGGGGACTGACAGCGCCTGCACGCGGGCCTCGGCGTCTGAAAGCTTGTCGGGCACTCGCCAAACGGCTGCGTGAAGTGCACGCGCCATGCTTCTTCCCCGGCTTCTGTCTCAGTCTCTTTTGGGCTGGGCTCTTGCCCAGCTCGGGCTGGGTACCAGTCAGTTTGTTGGGGTGGACTTGATTGACAGAGGCCTGGCTTGGTTTTTGGACTGGAGGCTGGGACATTTGGTCCCCGGTGGAATTGCTCTTACTGAATGACAGCAAACCCAAACCCACCCCAATCCGTCTCAAATGCACAGGACAAAATTACCCTCCTAACTTTTAATAACTACGTTACAACCCAGCCCAAAATCCCACGGTTTTGTTGTAAATAAAGCAAAATCGAGGGGGGAGGAATTGACCTCAAAAGACAAAATCACCCTCTGAATTTTTTAGAATTACCCCCCAACCCAGCCACATTCGGCTGGCATTGTCGTAAATAAAGCAAAATCAAAACAAACCCTGCCCTCCCCCCTACTTTAGAATAAGTAATTACATAAAACCAGGCCTCTATGCAGGTAAAGTTACAAAAAAGAAGCTGCTCCTTGAGTTCCTCAAAGATCACGCTGCAGCTTCGGATGTCCCTTCTATTTCTGCTCCCAATGCATGTATCCCAACTGTGTCTTCAACTCTTACGAAGCAAAATGCATTCTTGCTTTTCGACTGGATTCGTCACCTGAAATACGAGAGGGTTCACATTCCAGAGAAGTTTTTGAAAAGCATA